ATATATATTACAAATTTTAGTTATAAATGAATTAATCTAATTTGTGCATTGCGAATGTTAAAATATCAGTTCTAATTTTTAAACTTTACCTTGCTAACAAATAAATATTACATTTTAATTGTCTCAATGGCTCTTTAAATTTTATTTTTTTGCAATTAAATTTTGAACCTTAATTTCTTTTTGATTTTTTTTATAGAATTAAATTACTAATAGAGAATAAATTTCAAATGTTTATTTCCCTCAAGTTTTAGTTATTTCTTTTTTCTAAACAAAAACATAATATATTTGTTTTAGAATTAAATATTTTTAGTCTTTACAAAATTTAAAATTTTAAAAACTTTTTTTTTCTTCTTAATTTTGTTCTGGTTATTTTTGAAATTTCTAATTTCTTCATCTATTTTCACTTTTATCTCTCTGTTATCATCATATAGTATTCTTTTAATCATTAGTGAAAGTGGAGTTGAGATAATATATACATAATCTTAGATTCAAATCTTGGTATTGTTGACATGTCAAGCGACAAACAATTGACTTGAATTCAAATTAAATGTTATAACTTTCAAGGATAAAGTTTCAATATTTGATACTTTAACTAATGGAATAATCTTAACAAATTTTGCCAATATGAAGGATAAGGTTTCAAGGTGCTGTGTTTCAACATTGATCATGATTTATCTCACAATCTGATGTTTTTAAAGGTCAAATGCAAAAGGGAATTTGACACCAAAGGAATAATCTTAACCTAATAATGCTTACCAATATAGAATGCGTTAATTCAAAAGGAATTTGAGACAACTCTAATGTTAGTTTCAGTCAGTTGCTGTAATAGAGTTTCAATTGTTCGAGAATTTTTTTAGCTATTGAAGGATGTTAGAAAGCACGCTTTGGAATTTTTGATGGCCCTATACCTTAATATTGATTTGAATGACACCATACGATGATATTGGTGAAGGTAAAAGTGAAAGTGAATGAAGGAGTTAGAGATTTAAAAAAAATATATCTAAAAAGAAGATTAAAAAATCATCAAAAGACTAACATCAAAATTTAAATTTTACAAAAAATTAAATTATATAAAAACTAAAAAAAAAATTTACAAATTTTCTAGAAACAAAAAAATTCTTAAAATATATAGACAATATGTATCATGCGATTGGCAGGTGACATCCATATCACCTAAATTGCTAATTTGCTATATGCATGTTTGGAAATCTATTTGCATCATTGCAAACAAAATTTCACACATTCGTAATTAAGAAAGGAAGAAGAGATATTTTGTTACTTTAACGTTGACATATGAATATCACGGTATATAAATTATCTACAATTATAATATTGGTGTGTAGTTTTGTTGGACATGTTAACACTTAACTCAAAGTTAGCTTTGATATTGAAACTGTTAATGAAACTATAGGACAGAGAAACTAAAGGACTATAAACTATATTTGGTTTACAAGGAAAGAGAAAATTTCCGAAAGTTATTCTTATAATTTTTAATTTCAAAATATATATAAGAATATTTTAAATATTATACTCAAAATATTTTAAATTCTTTCCTCAAAATTCTATTTCTTTAAAAAATTCTAATATTGAAAGGAGCAAAAATTGGATGAAGAAGTGTTTTTCTCCGCCATTGTATTTTTCCTCATATTTCCCAAAAAAATTTAAAAAACAACAAAGTTTATAAAATAATTATCTTCTTCTCTCATTTTATCTCAATCAAATACCATGTCCAAATAAAAATATAATATAATATTTCTATTCGTAAAGAAACTATGCTTAAAGATTAATTAAAATTTAAAATAAAATCAACATTCGATACTTATTTGAATAGAAAGAAGTTAAGATAAAATTAAAGTTTGAGATACTTATGTACAGAATAGAACAAAGTTTAGAAATGTTAAAATTTATTTGTTTGCTACATTTTGAAAATATCATTTAAAATTTAATTTTTAATGTTAAATCATTTTCATTTATTAAAATATCTTTTTAATTGAATTAATAAAATCGATTTAATGATAAGAGTTAAAGAAGTATATATAAAGTTTTAGATTTAAATTTGATATTATAATTGTAATTTTGGTGAGTAAGTTTTTTTAAGAACTACATTAAAAGTTTATAATAATATTATTACATATAAATATGCTAATTTTGTTTGGTTAATTTTCATTCTTTATCTTAGCTCTTAATTGTCTCAGAAATATATGAAATTATGTTGTATTGTTTTTTTTTTTTCCCTTTAAAACTTATGTATACTAAAAAAGTAAAAATAATATTAAAATGAATACATTTTTTGTTTTAAATATTAGCAGGGGTAGCCGGTAGCCAGTAACTACTACTGTAAGATATTCTTACTCACTCCGTTATTTCCTCACTGTGTTGGCTTCCCATTGTATGTAAGTAATCACTTTCATTCTCTCTCTGTTTTTCATTCTCCAAGATGCTATTTTGTTTAAATTCCGTCAAAAATGCCATTTTCATTTACGTTGCCTACATTTGTTTTTTGGTTATTCACTGTAATTGCTTTTTTGATCATACCCTACAGCTCTACCATCGCTGCGTTTTATTTATTTGAAAGATTTTTTGTTTGAGGAAATGGTTAATGTTGAAATTGGCATTAGGGTTTGTTATCCCTAATCTTTTGCGTCTTCTTACAGAGAGAGAGACATAAAACAAAATTTACTGAACCTACGCAAGTAGTCGTGCTCTTGCTGTAGTTCACCTATACGCCTAGGGACTAGGATCACGAGAGTAATAAATTTTTTTACTTTACTTTTGTGATGATTTGCTTGTTTGGGTTTGTGTTCAACTTATTGTCTTCTTATGAGCCAAGACAGGTGTGGGAATACGATATTATGTGCTAGTGCTTGATCACAACATGGTTGTTCCTGGTAAATTATGTTACCTTTAATTGTGAGAGGGAGGGAGGGGAAGAAAAGAAGAAAAAATTGAAGAGAGAGATAATGATGCAAGGGAGGTATTTATTGGGGCTTGACTCGAGGTGGGAGAGACTGATAGGTGTCTCACATTGAGTAGAATAAGAAGCTTAATGTGACACTCAACCTATGAAGCTCTCTCATCTAATGTACTAGGCTCTTGGGTTGAGCATTATTCTTGTGTTTAAGTCTTAGTAATTGATGCTTTGAGAGTTGGGTTACGAAAAGAGCTACCTATAAGTTGAATTAAGATGCAATATACCAAATATTGATAGGTGAGTTATATGTGAAGCCGTCAAAAGGAATTAGGCTATTATTGAATCAATGTCGATAAGGTGAAAGTTGTTGTTGACATTGATTCTCAAAAGGGCTCTCAATGGTAGACTAGGCTTTTGGGTTGGGCTTTTTGCTTGTGCATAAGTTTTAATAATTGGTGCTTTTATTGAGAGTTGGACTACGAAGAAAAGCTACTTAGATGTTTAATTAAGGTGCAATATGCTGAATACTGATGGTTAAATGAAGTCATCAAAAGGAAAGGGATTACCTTCAAATTAGTGTCGATAAAGTGAAGCGATTATGGACATCGACTCTTAAAGGAGGTGGCAATGTTAAGAGTTTCACATTGAGTATAATAAAAAACTTAATGTGGTACTTAAATCATGAGGCACTCCCACCTTCAATTAGGTTCTCCTCTTGTGTATGGTGGTAATTGAAAAATTGGGAAACCATAAAAATCCACCCATGGGTCTGTTCCATCGAACTACATGTGGAAACAAACCAAACTCAGAAGAGGGAGTAGGAGTACTGGATGGGGATCAATTTTCCAGTGTTGAAACTTGCAGGGGTATATCATCTATTTTGGTTGTCACTGTGGACTGAAATTGTGCTAACTTTTGCATGATCTCGTCAACCTTCTTAGCTTGGGAATTTGGTGCTATAGAACCTTCCATGCGTGGATCTCTCAATGAAAGCACCAATGTTAGGATATTAGACTCTGATTCAAGGTCAGAGCAGCTTCCTAGAATAAAGGGATGAAATGGAAATAGACTTAATTCTCATTGTCTGTTGTTAGAGCAATACAATGGATATTTATGGCAGCATGATGCACACCTTGCTACCCTAGAATATTGCTGCTATGCACAAAACAACAAGCAATAACTGATTCCTAACAATTTTCTTCTAGTACCTAGTCGAGTCATATTTCTTATTTTTAATAAAAGACACTACTGATATTCCTTTTGGGCCTTACAGTAAGGTGAGTTGGGCCATATCAATACTTCCCCCATCGAAAACAACTTTGTCCTCAAGGTTGTAGGAGGACTGCAAACCTGTCGTCAAGAAAGCTCTTTCACAAGTGTCTAGATCCATTAACGAGTGACCCACAAGGTCTTGAGGTAATTCATCATCTTGCTCAGCTACTAACAAAAAATACTTGCTCCGCATTTGTGATTGCGTGAATACTACTTATTTCAATTCAAACAAAACTCCTTTTCTCTGTGTTCATCCATCTCCGCCTGTTAGTTGCTTATAATGATGCACAGTAAAAATAACAGACACAAACAGGGGAAATAGAAGGAGGAAAATGAATGTGCAGTGTCTCTGTTATTTTCCTCCTTCTATTTCCCCTTGTTTGTGTCTCTGTTATTTTTACTATGCATCATTTAGATTTGGATAATTGGATAATCTGTTGATAAATTATGCAGCGATTCAATGGAAGCTGTAGATGAGGGTGTGGACATTCAGGAAAATCTTTCTGGCTTTATTTTCATGTGTAATAGAATTACAAAGCCAGAGTGCTACCGGTACCGAGTTTTTGGGCTTCCTTCCGGAAGAATGGAAGTTGTAGAGAAGATCAATCATGGTACTTACCTTTTTCTGTTTGACACTGATGTGAAGCTTCTGTATGGCATATATATGGCAACCTCAACTGGGAAGCTTAGGATAGAACCATTAGCTTTTGGTCAGAAATTCCCTGCTCAGGTGAGTCTTTACACCATTGATGATGCAGACATCTAAGCTAAATAGACTTGTCTAGGTCCCTCCCCCCAACACATACTAATAACAAAAGTCTGACAACTTTGTAAAAATGGAATCCTCTGTCATGATTGGTAGTTTGTGGAAATATTGGTAACATCACCTAGCTGTTTGTACCATTAATCATGTTTCCTGTAAATGGAAAGAAACAGTTTTTTTAATGCATATTGTAATATTTCATTTATGGAGTTATTTTCTACCGAAACTAACCTTTTTGTCAAACTTATTTATTTGGCCATTTCTTAAATTATCCAGTTGAATTTTTGATGCTTCAAGAGGTATAACTTGCCTGTTGGGTGTTAATTTCTTAATTTTCTTGTGGAGTTGAATACATATGGAAGAAGATAATTGGTTCTGCATGGCTCTTCTGTTGCTTTTGGAAATCATATTTATCACCATTGACTTTGTTGTAGTTTTAGGACTAGACCAGTGAACCTTAATATGTCTATCGATTATTTTGAACTTGTCACTATTATTGTTTTCATAGTATCATTGTACGCCTGGCTTGTTTTTGTAATTTTTCCTTGTTTTGGTCAATGTTTATTAACTTCGAGTTATATAGCCCAGTTGAGCCTTTAAGTGTTTGGCATGAGACCAGTAGGTGCTTCTGATACTTGCTGTACTCAAAATTGCACTGTGACATCAAATGCACCATATCTACTGATGCTTTATTTTTCTTTTCCCATTTGCCTGCTTTCATTTTTTTAACATTGTTCAGGTGAAATTCAAAATTTACAAAGACTGTTTACCCTTGCCAGAGAACTGCTTTAAACATGCCATTCAAGATAATTACCAGAAAGGCTCCAACAAATTTAATCCTGAACTCAATATTACGCAAGTAGGTTTCTTTTTGATCTCTAGCAAAATAGATTTCAATCACAATTATTTCTGTCATCTTATCTTTTTGCCTCTTTTGTGTGAAAGAAACTCATGAATAATTCACCTTCTTATTTTGCAGGTAAGAAGTCTATTAGAATTGTTTCGCCCATTACATTCATTGCGAACTGCACCTACACAACCTTTTTTGAAGAAACCAATGAATAATCTTTATCATCAGATATCAGGGCCACCCCTTTCTGAGAATGCATTTTTGTCTAGGATGTCACCCACTCGAGCTCCAAGGCTGTGGAACTATAAACATGTAAATGAACTCAGGGAGCCTACGGCTTGTGCCTATCCTGTTCATAATGTTACGCCTTATTCAGCTGCAGCACAGCCTGTGTCATCACAAGCTTCAAGGAATCAGTTTTATTCTCTGGAGGGTAGTTATGCACCTGGGATGGGCACCAGTCATACAAGATCACTACCAGATTCTCAATATTCACATCAGACTATCCTTAACCCACAACCTGAATTTCATTCATCCCCGGTGAACAAGGGTAGTGGTCATGCTCAGTCTTTGCAAGATTTTCAACATGCACATCACAATATCATACACCAACAAACTGAATTTCATTCTTCATTGTTGACTGTTGGTAACAGTCATACTCTATCACGGCAATATCCTCAATATCCATATCAGATTATCCCAAACCCATCACATGATTTTCATTCCCCAGCGGCAAATGCAGGCAGCAGTCATCAGAGTCATCCCCACTTGTCATGGGGTCCTCACTATACCCATCAGAATATCCCAAACTTGCAACCTGACGCTTACTCCACCTTGGCGAATACAGGCAACTGTTATGCTCAATTATTGCCAGATCCTCAGCATACACATCAGAATGCCCAAAATCCTCAACCTGATCTCAATTCTTCCTTGGTGAATATGAGCCATGTCAGTGTCACGATGCAACCGCATGCTTTGTCATCATCATATTATCCATATGTTCCTCAAGAAGTTGTATATTCCGCGTCTTCATCGCAAGGGTATTTTTTCAACTTTATTCTAAACCTTTAATTGAATTCAGAAGCCTTTGTTTGACATAGGGATTTTTAATAATTTTTTAACATAAACAAGGAGACAATTCACTGACTGAAGCTATGATGTTCGAGATTCCGGAGGACAAAGTTTTGCCCCATCATAAATTTTAAGATTTATAATTGTTTGTTGAACAATCATTTTTAGCCATGGCTCAAGGCATTTTGCCAATATGAAATGAGTTTTGTTAATATCTAATGCCAGGTCTGGAGCCATACAAGGGGTGATATCAAGTGATCAACAAAATGGAACTGGAAGCGAGTATTATCAGCCATCTATGTAGACAGAGGGGAATACTTCTACACATAAGAATGTTGTCAGCCACCTGTATTCAGCAAATTCAGATTCAAATTCTTAGTGCTTAATCCCTTCCGCTTAAACATTCAATTTTGCTGCCTTTTGTCTTGTGTATATAAAGGCGCCACATATACTGTTTAGTTACTACTTTTTGTACCAAAAGAATGAACTATTAGGAAGGATTTGAAAAGAAAACGAGTAAAGAGGCGAGTCACGAAGAACCGTAATGACAATAAAAAAAGGAATTAAGATACATGAATGGTTATAATTATAAAATTTGACCAATGAAAATAATTTCGACCATTCATTTTTTATTATTAAAGAAAATGCGTATAAATCATGATATTTTTTTTATACAAATAACTAATGATTATCTTCAAGTGCATAAATACATATAGATAAAAATGGCACAACAATATATCAAAATGAAGAATCTAATGATTTTTATGTTATAGATTAGGAGTAGCCCTTAAGAGAATTAAGGGCATGTTTGGAATGGAAAAGAAGGAAATGGAATGAAATGGATTTAAGGTCCACTGTTTGGATTGAAAAGTAAAAGATGAAATGAAGTAGTAAGTGATGGAGCTGATTTCATCATTTAACTTTTTTCCTTATCCCTAATTTGGGGTTGCACAGTATGGAGCAATATATATATATATATATAAAATAACTGTTGGTCCATCTCCTTTGACTTTCGTATGATGCTTCATCATATTCATTGATGCCCATGTCTTTCTTCTTCTCGCGATACTTCTCTAGAGTGGAAGGTATAAGTGAATATTTTAAAGCATGGAAAATGTTATCACTATGCTTACGTCCAGAAGCATAAAGAATTCATAATTACTAGCTGTTCACTATCCAAAATATATATATATTAATAGAAGCATTACAGTAGAAATAGCAAAACGACAGTTGTACAATGTAGGTATTTATGTTGAATGTTATATATGGTTTCAATAAAAAAAAAAGTAAGCTTAGAATTTTAAATTTTAGTATTGTTTTAAAATAAGGATAATATGAGAAGTAAACCGTTATAGTCCATCACGCGTCTTTTTTTTTTTTCCTCTTTTTTTTTTCCTTCAAATGATAGAATAAAATATTTGATCCATAGGCCACTCAAACAATAAGCCGAACATTTTTAATAAATTTTATTTAAATCCATTCTGTTCTATTATGTTTCGATGCATTTTATTTCATTCTTTACTATCAATCCTAACATAATCTAAAACTTAATGTGTTTTGACCATTAAAGCCTTCTTTTTCTAAGGCTGGTCTCTCCCTTTAGAATGACTATCTAATGGAAATTCCTCTCATTCTCTCAAGTCATGTCTTATCTTACCTTAATATGAACAATTTCATGTGGATCCTAATTCTTATTCCAGTGATAATATATCTGAGAGGCAACTTTCTAGGCGTAAAAATAAGCTAGCTTTTATTAAGCTTAGGTCAAACCTTGGTTAAAAATATGACTTAAACTTGACATATTTATTTGTCATGTGTTTTTTTTTTTTAAGACCTAACCTAATATGTATAAATGTTTGGTTCAACCTATAAAAGTTTATTTAAGATCCTATTTTGTAGACATTTAACATTAACATAAGTGGAAGGTTTTTTAAGAATTGAGTCTAAAAATTTATATGATATAAATATATTTTTAAGGTATAATATAATACTATCTCTGTCCTAATTATAAGTAATATAAGACAAATTATTAGGATAAAAAAAATAACAAACTAAACTATTTTTAATTAATTCTATCATAAATTCAAAATTTGTCAAAGATATATATATTTTTTAAAATGATTGTTATATTTAATGTTAATTATAATTGAATACAAATAAAATAGAGTTAATAATAAAATTAAAGGCATAAATTTTTTTTAAGTAACTTTAAAAACTAATGATTATTGTTTATAATTAGAAAAAAAAAATCTAATTCGTTACTTAAAATTAGAATCAAAATACAATATTTATGATGATAATTTTATTTAAAATCGTGTTTTTCAATAAAACTTCTAAACATGACATAGCTTTATATGTTTCAATTAACTCATAAGTTTCACTCTTTACAAGTCAAAATGCTTGACATTTAAAAGATTAATAAATGCATAATTTTAATACATTATAACAAATATAATAATAATAATAAAATATTTATTTATTTTTATTAAATAGGTCAATTGTTAGGTCTAAGAGACTTTTATTGATTACCCAAAACTAATTTTTATAATTAAATAGACTTCAATAAAAGTTTTAAGATGCTTTATTTTCTAAAAAAATATGGCTTAATTTAAACTTGAAGTTAGATCATAAACATTTTCAAGGGACTTAACCTATTTTCATCTTTATTCTCTAGATATATTTAGTTATCTTAAACCTCTATCTTCACTAATGTATTTAGTTATCTTAAACCTTTCCCTTCACTAATGTAGGAGATCTAGAGACTAACAAGGATCTACAACAAAAAAAAAATTGTATAAAACCATTCATAATTTAATTCAACTTTATTTCTATTGATAATAATCCGAATTTCACATGTTTCCTAGTAGAAGGACGTTAAACATGGTCAAAATTATGTCGTCTTCTTTGACATTTTAGAAATATAACTATTATTGAACAAAAATTCACAACACAACAATTTTTGGGGCAATAAAAAAATAATATAAGACTTGTTTCCTAAGAAAATAACATTAGACAAGGATAACGTAACAAAATAATTAATTAAAATTAGTTACCATAAAAATACTAACAATATGTCGCCATCATTACTTTCCACTCATAGCTATAGGTTATCAATTAATTAGAGCATATGTGCTTGCAATTTACTATACCGATATCGAAATTTAAACCACGAATTACATTAGACTAACCAAAGGGTGAGGTTAATGAGGCTACACTTCATGAAGATGGAAAAAAGAATTAGGTATAAGAAACGTCTTGTTGTACTTTAAAGTAGTTAAAATAAGCACGTCAAGCATTTGAGCGTAAAGCATGCTCCAACCATGCACTCATGCATCTCCCTTTTATCGTCAAACTTTATCATATAAATGGTGTCTGGCGGTAGTACTGTACTGAAATCCAACATACATGAATCTGGTATCTCATCAAGTTTGTTTGGTTTATGTTTTCTCTCTTTTCTCATTCACAAAATTTGTGTTAAAAAAATTACTTAGCAGAGACAAAACTTTACTATGATCATGATATATATATGTTATAAACGTTTTTATAATTTCTCTGCTAAAAATTACGTTCCAAATCCAATAATATCAATTACTGACATTATTTTTGTTCAGACGTAATTACAGACATTCCATCGATTGGCAAAACTAGTTAGTCAGTCAAAATTTAATTTGACGATGTAAATTTGAATTTATAAGGATTTTCAGCTTGATTAAAAAAGACAAAATTTAAGTTAAGAATATTGTGACTATTATGAGGTTTGGTGCCTTCATATTTACAACTTTTTAACTTTGCCAATACTTTAAATAAATAAATAAAAACTTTACGATTAAGATAAGTTATTAAAGCTATATATATATATATATATATTGAGGTTGTGATTTTGCCATCAAATAACTTGGGTTGATTTTCTATTATTTTGTGGTTGCTTGGTGAGAATTATTAGACGCACATTACGATTACTTTAGTTTGTTTTGTACTAGGCTCACGGAATCTGCTCCCCAACTAGTATTGGAGTCTAATTGTTTTTTCCAATACTGTTCATTCCAACTTAGTGTGACAGTGACACCACAGCCCTACTTTCCTTTTTCCTGGTAAATCGAGTTCCATAAATTTATTAGGATAGAACAAGCTTCACACATCAAATAGCTCTTATAAAAATACTTATTTAATGAATTCATCATCATATAATTCACTATATGGCTCGTGATATATATGTTGGGCTACATCGAATAAGAATAGTTCACATTGGTAAATTGTTGGCTTAGAATGATAATACAGGTCACAAACGATTATCAACAATATGTTACTTGTTTATTTGTTCATTTACATATATTTAGCGTTAAAAATTAACATGTGTTGCTTCAACTGATTTATTTTAAAATATTTTAAACCAACTGATATGTAAAATAAAAGTTATTTCAATTTTAAAGTATTAACATGAATTTCCAAAGATAAACTTCCCATTTTAATAGACGAAGATTTTGATATAAGTTTTAGACTCTCCTCGAGTTAGTCAAGGTCAAGACCAATAAAAAAAATTGTTATTAATTTTATTGAATCAACTTATACACATTTTATTAAATTATTTAGATAGGTTAAAACTCAAGTTATTTTGAGGTTTCTACTAATAAGTCTAGAGTAAACAATATAAAAGATGGTAAAATTAATCGAAAGGTTTTTGAAAGATTCTTTATAACATATGAGTCTCTAGTTATTCTGTTATATTTAGTTACTAAATCTATTAGTCTCATAACTAGTTTAGGATTTACATCTATTCTCTCTTTCAATTGGTTATTTTATCCCCTAATCACTTAATATATATGGATCATAATGTAAGGTTTTGATATTTTTCAATCAGTAACAAACACTTTGTCATATTTTAATATCCTGGTCATGAGTATTTTAATTAAAACGAAAGATTATTGTTAGATTTTATAGAGTTTCTTATAGTTGAATTTTTCTGCCTTGGTTATCTTTAATCTTTTTATTTGTTTTTGCTATAAGTTTAAGATTGTAATAAACTCTAAATTATTAAATTTTGGATTTATCAAAATGAGTAATCATCCTGAAATATCTTAAATAAGGATGCGTCAATTGATTATAGGTACTTCAAAATGAGTGATCAATTTCATTTTAACATATGTAGTGTGAATACTATAATATTTACATCTCTCAAAGGGAAAAATATAATTTACATTAATGACGTTAAGTTAAATATATTAAATTATATATTTTAACATAAGATGAGGGTGAAATGTAATACTCTTATCCTAAACCTAATATTCTTATCTCTTACAAGAGAATAATCTACTTTACTCTAAACTTTAAATTTATGAAAGAATTAATTAAAAGTTCTCAATTTAATTATTTATTTTAATATTGATAATTTGTCTTTTATTGTTTATAACTAAGAAGAAATGCAGTATTAATGCAATATAATACTTTTTATGGTAAATGTATTTATCATCTTGAAAATACAAAACATATTCCGTACTTAATTTTTCACCCCCAATAATCATTTTCAAATTAGAGGAGCCAAATCTATCAGTCTTTCATCCACAACTTAAAGTGGTGGGTTTTTGACCTGATGTCTTTTAAAGATGCTTCCTTCGAATTTCCTTTATTTTTTCTGATTAAGACCTGCCACTTGCCACACTACGTCTGACCGGAATACTCCAAGAAATCAACTTAACAAATTCTAGCGAAAACGGTCGTAACTACTAACTCGCCATCCTCTCTCTATTCTAATGTCCATGCAAATGTGACGCTTAATCATTGGTCTTTCAATAAGCTTCTTATTACATTATTATTATATAATTGGATATTATTGTGCGTGAATGAGGTTCTGTTCCTTTCAATTTTCTCTTGTTTTTCACTTTCACTGCTAACTTTGTTTCACGCAAAGACTTTGGCCAAGTCACCAGCACTACACTGGGCGCGCACTTCTCCATGGGAAACTGCTTCTCCGAAGTCGCCGCCGGTCGCGCCGCAATCGGCGGCACCGCCGGCGATTTCCGCAATCCGGCCGGCGCTCCAAACGACGCCGTCGAGAACTTCCTCAGGTCTCGCGGCCACCACGGCCTCTTCTCTCAGATCGAGGTTCTTTCTTTTCTCGCCTTCTCTTTCTCTTCACTCGAATTCAGTGATGGAACATTAACTTCGTTCGTGCCTGGTTTTTGTGGAAAGTGTTTCTCCTACCTACCGTGACAGTTGCATAATTTTTATTTTATTTTTTTTTATTTTTGCTGCAGTTGTCGTTTTCCGCTTCTGGATTGCGTGATCGCGATGTGCTCTTCAAGGTTCGTTTCTGTAGGTTATGCACTTCATGAATCTGAAGCTCTTGCTTATTATCCTACCTATTAATTTAGTTTTTTATAGATACACTTGTTTCGGTTCTGTTTGGTTCGAATCGAACTTGTCATCGTTTCTGTTTTCGGTTTTCGTTAATTAGCTCAATTATCGCTTATATTGGTCTATTCTCTTTGGCTAATTATCATCATTCGCATTTAGGAAATAAATAAACAAAATAACAGAGAATTTATGATCATTTCAATCAGAACTAGCTGTATTTTGTTTCTAGAATTCAGGAGCATCTAGCTTGGGATCATGAATTCATGATCTGCAATATCTGTTAAGTGTTAAGAAGTTTTTCACAAAGCCCGGAAAACACAGGAAGAAAAGAAAATTCACTAATCCAGGCCGAATGCAGGCAGAGTCATTTCTTAGTTGTTATGTCAAATGATTTAATTCATATAAAATAATGTCTTAGTGCCAAAAAAGGAACAGATAATGTCGAACTGCTCAAAATCTAATAGCTTAGCTGCCATCGTGTTTTAGACTATATTATCTTAGTTCTTTATATAAGAAACAAGTTACAGTGCAAATCACTATAACTTGTTTCTTATAATAAGGACCCGATGTGGTACTCTGCTAGATCTTTACATTGACATGAGAGATCAAGCCTCAAGGCATATCGAAATAGACCTCCTTAACACAGTTGAGCAAATAAACCGCATGGACCATTGGGGCCACTGTCAAGTGTTTCTTTATTTATGGGATTGTCATTTAATTTTTGAATAAATAAAAAAATCACACTTTTAATAGCTATTATTCAGTTATTTCAATCTTGTTTCTATCACCAAAAACTTAGGATGTTTTATATTTAACTTTCTTTGATGTAGAGTAATCCGATGATGGTTCTTTATACAAGAGGAAAAAATGGAGCACTTCAGGAACTTCGCCGCACAGAAGTAGTTCCAAATTCATCGAGTCCCACATGGATTACTAAACACACCCTCATTTATCATTTTGAGGTTGTTCAGGTTTTAGTGTAAGTTTGAATCTCATATTTTATACTTCTAACGAGGCAGATGAGCATTTTCTATTTTTACCAGAATTTTTTCTGTAAAATTTCTTTCATCACAGGTTTCGTGTGTATGATGTTGATACTCAGTTTCACAATGTAGATGTAAAGGTATAGTGTTTATGATAGCTTGTATACATTTTTTTTAGTAAGATGTGGTTCCAATATATAATTTCCTGGTCAAATTAGATTCTAGTCTACCATTTCCCATCTTTGAGAATTTTATAAAGATGTTAACAAATCTATGCATACAGTAGTTATAAATTTGTAACTGAATGACAACTTTTTCTGTCAGTGTTTTTATGTTGGTAATGCTATCTATATTGTTTTATTGATTATTCATACTTTCTGTACAACTTTATTTTTATTTCCTTTCAAATACAAATTTATTGCAAATCAGGAAGCTTCAATATTTTTTCCCAATTTTTCTTGATTTTGCAGAGAAATGTGTGCTAATGATTCGGATAATTGAGTGCCATAATTAACGGTCAATTATCTCACATAACTGGGTAGATGCTATAAGAATGATAATCCATCTTGGATATGATAATCTGAGGTTTGAAGTTCATATAAAAGAATATGAGGGTTAGAAAATGTTTGTATTACAAAATTATAGTTAATTAGTTTACTGTTTTCTGCATTTCTTCAAGCTATATTAGTGTTACCGATATATTTTGACAACATGAAGTTATCAAATAATATTCTTAAGAAATTGTTAAGTTGGGGTGTTTAAATGGAATTTTTCTATTTAATTGTATTGCATGAAAAGTAACTTAATTTCGATCTCATGCAAATGCTTTTGCCAACATCCTATTCTATATCGATTTAAAAAAATTCAAGCCTTTCTATATTTGTTTTGCACGTTGGAGTTACTTTTCAATGTGACTATATTTACCTTTTAGACCATTGCATTAACTTTTTTTTTACTTCATTTTTTTGTTCAAGACTTTTGGATTGAAGATAATTTACCTGTTATATGCTTATATTCCTTTTGTGTGGATGTTTAAATTTGAAAAGTAATTATAGCATGTTAGGTGAAAAGTAAAATTGTGTACTTGATAAATGTGAACCTTTGGAGCAGACAATTTTGGTACTATTATTTGCACAAATGGCTTCCTTACAACCTTCTTGTGGACCACTAGATAATGACTTAACCCAGCTTAACATTTTTCTGAATGGCTTAGATTCAGCACATCTCGTAAGATTGTCTAATGATCATCTCCAACTCTTTCCATGACAAATATTTGTTGGCCTTCTTGTTTTCATGTTCATTAGATGTGATAACATGTTGGTAGAAAATATCAATGTGAAAAGGTCCAGTTTAAAACTATTTGGTTGACTTGTGCAGATGCTTGAGCTAGAAGAGCAGCAATTTCTTGGCGAGGCAACCTGTGTACTATCTCAGGTAACACAGAATGTTAAACTTTATATTGACATAAATTTGACAACGAAAAGGAACCCATTGCACTATAAATGAAATTGGATCTTTAAGTTCCAGTTCCAGTACCCCTAACTATATTAGAATGTAATTGTCTTTCCAGATTTATGATGCTTGAAAATATGAAACATTTCTGTTTTAAAGTTATAGTTCATTTGCTAACTAACAAACATATTAATTTTTTAAAAAACTAAGAAAGAAATGCTTACTCAAATTATGTTGTCCTTTGCATTACTTCAATTAAATTTTTATCCCATTAATATCAACAATTTGGCTTCTGCAGATAATCACACAACCTAATCAATCATTGACTATAGATCTACACACAGAAGATTCTATCATATCTACGTCTACCCTTGCCAAAAACTCTGGGAAACTCTCAGTGCATGCTGAGGAATGTGTTAGCTCAAAGACTTCAGTAGAGATGGCATTCAGGTGTTCAGATTTGGAATACAAGGATCTTTTCTCAAGAAATGTATGTACCTATTGATGTTTTTCCTTATCGCATTATGAGGAGTGCTGGCTCTGCTTTAAGAAATGCTTTTGTTTGTCCTGCAGGATCCCTTTTTATTGATATCAAAAGTTGCGGAAGGTGGTGCCCAAATTCCAATTTGCAAAACAGAAGTTATAAGGAATGATCTCAACCCGATATGGAAGTCAGTGTTCGTGAATATTCAACAAGTAGGAAGTAAGGTATATAACTTAAATACAGTTGTGTCATTTGGTGTGGCCATTTATCTAATAATATTACCGTTGAACTTGGCCATCATGGTTTTATATTGACATTTCTGATTTCTAGTTTTCATTGCCTGTTAAAGTATCACGTTATTTTTGTTTCAAAGATTTCTTCAAATGGAAGGCACTGGGTCAAGTTGCTTTGTGTTCAAAACATGTATTTTGTTCATTAAAATTAGTTATAATTTAGAAACATTCTTCTTTAATGATTTCTTCATTTCATATTGGTGCTTGTTTTATCACTATTACAGAATACTGGTTAATGTTGACCTTGTACATTTTAGCTTGATGTTCTATAGTTGAATTGAAGCTAACTTATTTTGCATTTTTATCATGTGCAGGACAGCCCTTTGATAATAGAGTGCTATAACTTTAATAGCAATGGAAAACATGATTTAATGGGGTAAACAGCAGCTCCTTTTTCATGTATCTGTTTATGTTTCCATCATGTCTATGTCTCCATGCTGAAATACATATTAGTGTTGTTTATTATTGATTTTATCAGAAAAGTAGAGAAATCTTTGGCGGAGTTGGAGAATATTCATAATAACGGCCAGGGAGAAAATTTATTTTTGCCTTCTGCTGGTGGACAAAGCCATAATAACAAGGTCTTATTATATTTTTATTAAATTGATTTCCATCATGAGTTCTTGTCCTTCCCTAAAAGTTTATGTGACTATAATAAACAGGTGTTAAAGAGCCAACTATTTGTGGACAAATTTACTGAAAGTGTCCAATATACTTTCTTGGATTACTTGGTGGGGGGATTTGAATTGAACTTCATGGTGGCTGTTGATTTTACAGGTAAAGAAAAATATGCTCAAATTATTTGTGTTAAAATAATGTTTGGCCAACGGAAGTTACATCCCATGAGTGCAAATTAGTCTTTGATTGTCAACTTTGGAATACTATATGGGTCTTGTCCATGGACCAAAAAAAAAAACTTTTTGTACTCTTCTACGTATAAATATAAAGATCAAGTGATAGAGAATGAGACAATCATATTATGATTGTTGTAATTTTGGAATGTGGTTACTTGTCTGAGTTTTGTGTTATTAATTGTTGAAAATTGTATATCTTATTCCAGATTGTGAAAGAACACCAATTGATAAATAATAAAATTCTATATTGAACACAAAAATCATACATTATACAGCAATCCACTTGCTGTCCCAAAGACAAAAGCCAGAGAGTATCCTCTGTCCACAAACTGCAAATAACAACACCCTTGCCAAATTACACAGCCTGCTATTATATATGATCCTAGTACATAATTGCCACCAGTTATTTTCTATGAATAACTGCCATCATACAGTTTCTAATACAACTAATGCAAAATTACTAATACAAGATAAGTTAATTTTATTCACATATAATGCTAATAATAGCTTCCTCCATTTTTTTATTAAACCAGAAAAAAGGGTTACACCAGATACTAGACAGCAAAAGAAGAACACAAGACAAAGTTCCTCACAGATAATAACCTTTGTCCATACACAATGCGAAGGCTGATATGCCATATACATAAGAAACACAGACATAACTGTAAAACATACTAAAAAGCTACTAAACACATAAATGCCCAATAGTTGTTAAACACATACATCACTGCCATGCTGTTCACATTCCAGTCCTATCAATGCTTCTGGGGTACAGAAACAGCCTTGTCCTCAAGGCTGAATTTCAATGCGGAAACTACTTTACCAGTACTTTACTCAGTTGACATCATAGGCTACACCAATTTGCCAATGTCAATATCTCCTAGTATTCCATCATCATTTTGGAAGCAGTGTTCTTCTTCCCTTCTGTGAAAATACTCTTGGATCTTGGTATGGAAAATGTCTCATGCATTTGTTTTTGAATTGGGCCCTTGTTGGGTTATTTCCACCCTCACTGTTATTCGAATTTGTAGCAGAAATTCGTTTGCCTAATTGGGTCATGAGTAGGGGTCTTCCCTCCAATTATCTAATCAAGCCATTCATAAAGTATAGGGTTGGCAACTTTGTTAGGCCATGCAGCATAGTTACTGGGGAGGGGAGTGTAGATGGGAGGTAGTTAGTCGTTTTGGTTGTTATTGGCAGAAAAATTTTTCTCTGACGAGCTTAGGCTCTGATATTTCCTTGTGAGAATTCAGACATGCCTTTCTACTTTCATTAATAATATTCATTTGTTTTCTAATCAATGATTGAGATTTCCCTCAAATATTCAGCTGAACCTTCAACGACATTCTCATTTAGAAGGGATGATTCTCCGCATTAATCTTTTAACTGTAGTTAAAGTGTAAGGCTCTATCCTGACCATTAATAATGAGAACACAATCTGCTTCAGCTCTTATTCCCTCCTCTGTTTACTTGGTCAAATGATTGTCTGTTTGCATTGGTTAAAGGATTTAAAATTCCAAACGGTTACCTAAGTGAAAAACACTTATTTCTGAGAAAACTTGCATGAAATTTAATTTTCTTTCTGAAATATTTTTCTGACACATGAATTTTATTTTGACTTTTATTTAGATACCATAGAAATTAAGACATTTTCTTAGTTTTTCCAATATCATTAGTACTTGCAGTGTGAGATTAGCCTTGCAAATCATTCTTTTGACACCTTGAGGTTTACAATAATGGTAGAAGTTCAGTATAAATTCTCTATGCTGAGCTAATGTTCCCTTTGGTTTCTTAGTACAAACTATCACCAGGCTAGTCGCTTTGTAGTTAAACGCTCATCCTCCTCACTCAATTAGTGCGCTTGATTGGGTTCGGAGGAGTATGGATGTGTCCAGTTTACCTTGAGGAACCATTAATGGGTTCCTACAAAATGCTAACCCTCTGAGGCCCTTGTTGTCAGGCTCAACAGCTTGTATGAACCTTCCCTGCCCCCTCCTTATCCTCTCTATTTTGCTCCCTCCACCTCAACTCTATTTTCGTTAGGAGGATATAAGAATATTAACTTAATATAAACTCAAGAATTCGTGTTACACTTACATCTAATGACTAACATGCTTCTGGTTATACATGGGATGACGGTGAAGAAACACATTCTTATGGTTACCCTTCTCTTGTTTACCAGCTTCAAATGGAAATCCACGCCTTCCAGATTCTTTGCATTATATTGATCCTTCAGGACGGCCAAATGCATATCAGAAAGTGAGAAATGCTTTTTGGTTTAATTCACAACTTATTTGTTATTGATCCATCATTGATGTTCTATGAATTTTTTCTAGGCTATTGTTGAGGTTGGGGAAGTGTTACAGTTTTATGATTCAGACAAACGATTTCCCACTTGGGGATTTGGTGCACGACCAATTGATGGTCCTGTTTCCCATTGTTTCAACTTGAATGGAAGTAGTCATTACTGTGAGGTAGAACTACTATGTCTGATGTTGCCTGTATTGTCATATTGAAACAGTTCTTTATTAGTTAGGAGTTTCTGTCTGTTGTAGGTGGAAGGGATCCAAGGAATTATGATGGCTTACACAAGTGCCCTGCATAATGTATCTCTTGCAGGTCCTACTCTTTTTGGACCTGTCATAAGCACTGCTGCGTTGATTGCCAGCCAATCTGTAGCAAATGGCCAAAGAAAGTACTTTGTTTTATTAATAATCACAGTAAGAGTTAATACATTTTGCATTGTTCGATATCATATATTTATCTCTGAAAGTAACTTGTAATTTTGCCTCATTGAACGTAATTCGTAAGTTTATTGTAACTTAATGGTTCTTTGGTTGTTTGTCATGTATGTTTCTCTGTAGTTTGCCTTCATGCATTCATAGCATTTCGCTAAATATTTGTCTTACATGTGACAATAAAGATACCCATCCTTCTGACTCCTAAGAATTTTATAAAGATTTTTTTATCATCTTGTTTTTCCACTGATGCTGAAATTTTGGTATGCTCCAAGGATGGAGTAGTTACAGATCTCCAAGAAACAAAAGAGGCTATTGTTAAAGCATCTGACCTGCCATTATCAATCCTTATTGTTGGGGTAGGAGGAGCTGATTTCAAAGAAATGGAGGTATTAAATCCAACTTGTCTGAGACGGTGATCTGTGTGTGTGACTGGTATACCGCCGCATAAGGTTTTATGTAGTTTTGCTGTCCAATTTCTTGTCGTTTAGGTTTTGGATGCAGACAAGGGAGAGAGGCTAGAAAGTTCATATGGACGCGTTGCCTCACGTGATATAGTCCAATTTGTACCATTTCGTGAGGTTCAAAGTAAGTATCAGTTTACAATATTAGGATTGAGATAGAGATGAGGGTTTCTGCACCTTGCATGGAATCACGTTACTGTCATTGTACTAAAAAGGAAAAGTACTTCTCTGTAAAGAATGAAGTTTTTGCGAATGCTGCCTAACATATCAATACTGGCATACCTCTTTCTGTTGCAGGTGGAGAGTTTTCAGTTGTTCAAGCACTTCTAGCAGAATTACCGAGTCAATTTTTAACTTACGTGCGGAGCAGAAATATTCAACCGAGCCTCTAGACATTTAAAAACTAAAAACTGTACATAAAGTTCTCAATTCATTGATCATTGTGAGGTTTCGAAGTCCTTTTTAGTTCTTCAATCAACGAATTCGGCTAAAGGGCTGGGAACTGTTGCTTTGTGCTAATTAACGGCTCAAGAAAGGTTCGCCTGCTAGCTGTCTTATCCAAAGGATATGTCTGATCAACCTTATGATTGGCATTTCCCTTTCTTTTTTGTGCACGTGTCCTTTTGGCTTTTCCTAGGTGATTGGTTTGCCTGAAAATAGCAATACTACAAGTTGGAATCAATGTTTTCTTCCTTCTGTTCTTTCTACACTTGATATGATTTGTAATGGAAATCTGATAATTTGGGGATGTCTTTAGATGGCATTACAAATACAAGCAGAATATGTATCCAGAAAAATAAATAAAAATAAAAATAGCACCGCTGAACTCTATTATTTTATTAGTTCATTATACCCCCTTTTATTTTATAGTTGTTAATGCTCATTATGTAAAAGATTTTGAAATTTTGGAACATGAAGGATATATTTTTTAGGCTTGCAAATTAGTTTTTGATATAAGGAAAGTTAAATAGCAGATCTATCTTGGGATTTTCCCTCTTTCCTGAAGAATCACTTTATTTGATAGTTATACTATAGGCCCACAAAGATGAAAGAGTAGGACCATAAATAAGCAGGTAGGATTCGTTAGGAGAGATTTGTGTAGTTTATAGGATCAAAAGTTCATATTTCACTCCCACCTTTGTATTTTTCTAGGAGGGAAATCAAAGAATCCAACATATCAATTTAAAAAAGAGTAAGGAATAACATTAAAGATAAGTAAAGTAGTATTGTAACACAAAAAGAAAAAGTAGTAAAGTAGTAGAACTATAATATTACTCCCGCAAGATGAGAAATCCCTGTACAAGGAGGAAAAATGATACCAAGAGTGTGTTTGGAAAAGTTATGAAAATTATATTATTTTAATAATTGATTTTGTGTATAATTGATTATAATCGAAATGCATTTTTGTTTGAGTAAAGTTGTTAAAAAGCAATTTTGAGGCATTTAATTTCACTGGGATACAATAAAAAAAAATCAGTTTTTTTGTTGTAAATCAGTTGTAGAAATAAAAAGTTGTTTAAAAATATTCTTAAACTTCAAATTTTCAAATTTATAAAAATAAGGAAAAGAAGTTGTTTATAAATTTTAGTTGTTGTCCCACATAACAAGCTTATTTTACAAATATTTTTCTCTAACAAAAACAGCTGAGCCTAGGAAAAATCATTTCCAAACACACTTAAAAGCTAAGTTTTGAATATTTTCTAATATGAAGGATGAAAAATATTGATTTTAAATTGGATTAAAATATTAAAGGCTAACTAAAAATAGTTCAGCACATATGTTTTTTAACTAAAAATAAAGATTTGATTCTAGACTTAAACATAGACTTGCGATCGAATATTACTTTATTCCCGTAAGAGCTAATTTAAAAACATTTATATCTTTATTAAACAAAAATAAATAAAGATCGGACTAAATCCGAAATTTGGTATTTTTTATGGACTAAAATCGTTAATCCTATATTAAATAAGTATAATTGCACCGGATATTGATTAGTGTTTTTTTGTTTTGTTTTAGGCTTAGTTTAAATCATTTATATCAATAGGTGAAATTGCAGGCAGTTTTTTTTTTTTTTTGCTTTTTTTTTTATTGATAGAGAAAAAGTAGATGAATTTCACCATTTCAAAAATTATACGATTCATTTTTATGCTTATTTCTCTTAATGGAATGCCGCGAGATTTGAACAAGCCAATGTTATGACATGAAACGCGAAAAGCAAACTAGTTATGAAATCAAGTCTGCTACATTCATTAGAATAAGTTTTTTTATTATTTATTTTTATAAACTAGCATTCACAACGATTTTTAAAGTAACTTGGGTAGTCATGAATTATCCTTAAAAGATGTTTCGATCGTTAAGGAGGAAGGTATCTTAAAATTATTATTAATATTGATTATTAATCAATGAAAAACTTTTATTGGAGAACTAGAACATGAATTATTAAAAGTATGGTTGAAAATTAGTTCAGTTGAACTCAACTGAGATTGAAAAAAACAAATACGCTTATAATTTTATTTTATTTTATTTTTTATCAAAACGCATGTTTTTTTTATATATATAATTGATATTTAAACATACACTAAATATTTGTACTTCTGTTGGAATAATTTAAATGTGCTTTTACTCTCAAAGCAATATATTTTTCTTCTTCTTCATTTGTACATTGAATTTTACAAATTCACATTGAAATTCATAAAAAGTACTTTTTCAACTTTAATTCAAAGTTTGGTTGCTTATTTCTCTTTGTACATGCAGTTATGAGAAATTTTTATAGTATATTTGTTACTATAAATGTTTCTTGAATTATTTCATATCAGTATCTTAATATCTGCAATACATAATATAAATATTTATTTTATATATAATAAAATTGATAATAAATAAATATTTTAAAATATATAAATTATATTATATTTAACATTTAAAATAAATGAATATTTTAACATATACATTTTGTTTTTAATTTATGATAAACAAATGATATTGTAATATAAAGTTATTTTAACTACTGATAATTCTATTTAAAAAAATTATTAAAATTCAATTTAAAAATAAATATGGAAAATGATAAAGTAAAATATACAAGATATTAAAAAAATGTTAAAAAACCACTTTCATTAAAGAATAATTCATAAAAATACTCTCATACAAAATAATTATTTTGATTTATTTATAGAGAGAATTATTTAAAATAATACGTAAATAAGACAAGTTTAAAATTAATTAACATAATACTCGTAACTCCTAAATTATAGAAAGAAACACCACTTTGGGCACCACTTTGGGTGATTGTTTCTTTTCACGAGTGTACATTATTTTATTGTATTGAAACTAGCTAGCTATTCCCTTTTCAAATATTTGTGATAAGTTTTGAACAGAAAATTGCAAATGAATTTGAAATTATTTAAAATAACTATTTTCAAAGGATCAACAAAATTACTCCTTTTGATTGAAGCATATTGATGGAGTGATAAAGATGAAGTGGGTTGTGTTTGACGAAGTTATACTTTACAAACACATTAACTTTTAATGCTTAGTTTTATAACAATTGCACAGACCATGACCAAAAAAAATAATAATGGATTTAAGTCTCCTCCAATAACATAATACACAAATTACTAATATTTGTTTATAAAAAAAATAGCCTAAATTATATTTTTATCTCTTTATTTTTATCAATTTGTGACAACCTCTACTCCACATACATAATTATACAATAAAGGGAGATACATAAAAATTTTCATAAATAACATCCAAGTCTCTAATTATATAAGAGTAAATAGCTCACATTCATAAATCATAAATTATAATGCGGAAATTAAAAAAGAATAAAATCAAGGTCTTCTAAGCAATTTAACAAGAGTAACATTTTAAATTAATCCTAAGTCCCGATATCACTTGTCCTATCAGAACACATCCCACAATGAGACTTAAATCTCATCACCAACATCTTCATACTAATGAACACCTACAACACAATAAAAAAAACATACACATAAAGTAATAAGGGAGTGAGAAACATCTCACTCTAGTTCAGATGTAGAAATAAATGTTAGGCAACACACATTCATAACAAATACTACACAAGTTACACATCACCAAACACAATTCTCAAGCTATAAATACATTAGAATAGATGTACATTAACTTATTATGCAATAATGTCATGGACTCAACTCATAAATGCATGCATGTGGCGCCATACGGAAGTTGCATATTTCTCATCACTGGTATGATACTGCAGCAACATACCTAGGGCACGTTCATTCATAAATACATCACAGGTGACCCAAGGTACACCTGGAATAGCTCAATACATCTCTGGCATGCGGCCTAAGCGACACACCTGAAATAACTCAATACATCACTGGTATGCGGCCTAAGCAACACACCTGGAATAGCTCATTTCATCATTGGCATGCGGCTTAAGTGGCACACCTGGAATAACTCATTTCATCACTGGCATCCAGCCTAAGCAACACACCTAGAATAGCTTAATACATCACTGGCATGCGGCCTAAGCGGCACACCTAGAGTCATATATGCACATGATGCATATGTCACACATCCACTATTTCATTAACTCAACATTTCACTTATCATGTCTCATCATATCTCATATTACTTGTCACAACATCTTCATAATCATCCCATAAGGTCACGCACATAAAGGTTTTCATCAAAAGATCATGTCCTTAATTGTTTCTCGTAGTGTTTCCCACAAGAACCCACAAAACACTCTAATTCATATAAAATCTTATGTATTTTCAAAATTATTAAACATATATTCATACTTAGAATCATACGAGGAACACAACAGAGCAGTCAAAAAGTAAAATAAAAAACATTCATAAAGTGTCTATTTTCATAGTAAGGCAAAGGATTGGGGGCCAATCTTACTATCAAAATTATCTATTTTCAAAATTAAGCACATATTCATATTCATAATCACACAATAAAGAACGCAACAAAACAATCAAAAAGCAAAACAGAAAAAATTCATAAAGTGTTTGTTTCCATGGGCAGGCAAAGGATAAGGGTCAATCTTGCTATCAAACATATCTAATTTCAAAATTAAACACATATTCATGCTCAACATTTATCAAGGAACACAATAGAATACTTAGAAGCCAAAACAGAAAATATTCAAGCCTATTTCTCATAGGGTTTCCTGTAGGAACTCACAGAGCACTCAAATTCATATCAAAACTAATCGATTCTTGAAATTGAACACATTCACACTTAGAATCACACAAGGCAACAGAACAATCAGAAATTAAAACAGAAAACTTTTATAAAGTGTCTGTTCCTATACGCATACATCAGGCAAGGGATTGGGGGTCAATCCGACTCTAACTACCCAAAAAATATTCCCACACCCCGAGTGAGGTTTCTCACTCCCCCCTTACCTTGATGAGTAGAGGATGAGGCACGAGCAGAATCTAGTTAGGCTTCTTCTCCAAGGTCTCTTCGTTCTACAGAACGTAAGAGAGAAAAATGAGAATCAGAAGTGAATACGTGAAAAAATGACTTCTAACTTCTGTTCCTTAATCCTTTTTCTCAATTAATAAAATAAATAATAATAATAATAAATAATCATTTACCAACACATCCTTCCTTCTTTTTTTTAATAAAATAATTAATATAATATATATAGAATGAAATATATTTCTTTCTTTAATCAAATAATATGAACATAATAATAAAATATACTTTATAAAATAACTCCTACTTCACTAATTAAAATAATAATTATAAATCAAGGTTTATAATAAAATAGAGCTCATGTAGATAATTAAATAATATCAAAACCTTGAATAAACACATTTAAAATATTAAAATAATTACTATCATATTATTAATAAAATTTTATGAAAATTGGGGTATTACACAATTACAATTTTGATCCTCTATTTTAAAATAAGACAATTAGTCTCCTATTTTTAAAAATACAAGATTTTGGTTCTATCATCAATTTGATATTTATTGATCATTAAATTTTGACGTCATTTTGTGGTCGGCAATCACTTAAGTATCTTTATATTTAATAACATGACATGTAGGGATAAAAAATAAAAAGTAACATATACAATTTTATTTTGTTTGTATATATTTTAATGAGTGATTAGTATTTATTTTATTAATAAATTTTATTTATATTATTTTAAAAAAATATCTTCAAATGTCATATTCTTAAATGTCACGTTACTTAAGTATAAATAAATGTTAAAATTTAAAGATTAATATATGTTAATGACAAGAAGACTAAAATTTCGTATTTTTTTATATTAGAAGGATTATATGTTTCTATTTTAAAATAAAAGGACTTAAATTACAAATTGACAAAAATAGAAGGATAAAAGTGTAATTTAACTAAAAACATATTAGTGTAATAATGATTGGTTGGTGAGATAGCATTATTCATCTTATTGTAGTAGGAGGATTTAGACCAACATTCTTATTAATTAGTGTGAAAAGACACTTTGTATTTTTAAAATAAAAATGAGAACTCAATAATAAGTTTTTGAATAAGAGTAGTTTTTGAAAAATGTAGAAAAAGAATGAATAAGAGTAGGTTTTAAGGTTTGGTTGTAGTATGACCATGGAATTTTAGGAGGACCTTTCTATTCATAGCATAACTATGTATTACTTGAGTATTCTCCCGATATTCTTGTTGAGTAAATTATATGTATTACCTGAATATAATTACTTAAAGTTTTTCTTAGCAAAGTAAAGTACAACAATATGTGCATATATACAAAATGAATCATAGAAGTGAAAAAATTCCAATACAATAATTAATTCAAAAATATGAAAGACAACATATCTTACTACAATAATATTTAAATTGAGAAAAATATTTAACATTAGTAAACAAATTAGTCTTGTAAATTAGAATATTGATACAAACTCAGCAAAAATAGATATTCGGGACGCACGCATGAAGTAATTAAACTACAAACTATAATTAATAAGGGAGATAGCAAACATTGTATATATGTATTAATTAATTTACATTAAAAGATAAGTTGTTCGATACATGGTTAAAACTTGATAATAAGGTTGTAACCAAAAAAATGATAATAAGCTTAATTATACATTGAAATTAAAGAAGTAAATCATACTCTCCTATTTTTATTTTATTTTATTTTTAATTTTTTTCTTACGTGGTTAATATATGTATTACACTTCAATTTATTTTTAAACCGCAATAATTTGTTAAATAATCCATATTGGCTCATTAAAGAAATAATTTATTAATTTGTCAGGTTGAAATTTCATCATTTTCATGGAAAAAATGTATAGCTCTTATGATGGTTCGAGAAGGATATTTATTTCCCCGATCACAAAGTTAAGTTTCAGTTTTAGGTATACGTGACAATAAATTTTTGTCTCTTATAAGTTATAAATAAGAAGAAGAAAAAATTCTCACCTAACTTTTTTCACTACAAAAAAAGTCATACACTACCAGAAAAAATTAGGTATATCGATATGAAGTTGGTTTTATTGGTATAAATTATAATCATGGTATAAAAAACTTAAATTATGATTATATAATATGAATCTAAACTAGTAGCATGTTATACTAATACTATAATGTACTAATATCTATTTTTATACTAAAGAGATTATCTGTTGGTACAATATATCATATTTTCTAGATTGACTTTGTAATATTTATTACAATAATAAGATTAAATTATTTATTTGATTTATTTATTCATTTATTTTTTTTAATTTAAATTTTTTTTTGAATGAGTCAATTTAATTTCATTTTATTTAATTGATATTAATATTTGATTTTCGTTATATTAAATTAAACGATATTAAGAGATATGTTAACATAGTACATCATCTCATGTCTCCTAACATGAGAAAGTTCTTTTCCACCGTTGGATTAGTTCATTTTTTGATCAATTTTCACCATTTTAACTATAATATTAAAGTTATTGCAAAAATAGAGATAAATATAGTTATTCACATAATTAAAAAAAAATCCTTACACATGCAGTATAGATTTGTTTGAAAGATGAAAGATATGAAATAAATACCCTTTGGAATATATTCTTAGTTTTGAATAAAATTTATATCAGCCTAGTGTTAATTCAATAATTAAAGTTAATCTACATAAATTTCAATGAACAATAAATTTATCATAAAACGCGTCATAAAAGCATTTCTCTGCCTTGAAAAGTTAAAAATTGGTAAACTTTTGATTTTTGTGGGTTCTGTTTCAGTGTGCTACATGTCATTGGGTTCACACTCGTATACACGGCAACGAGACATATAAAAGCCATTGAAGCAAAACCCTAACTTCTCCCCTCTTCTCTTTCTCATAGATCTACTTTTCTCTTTCTCTCTCTCTCTCTTTCTTTCTTTTTTTATCTTTACGTTTGCTCGATCCAAACTCACATAGTATCATCCACTATAAGATTTAATCCTTCCACTTTTCCTCAGTACACACCATGAAACATAGAACCTCAGAGACATGTGCAATTTTTAAAAATTTCTTTACGGGCACGTGAGCAAACAATTAATTATTTACACATATGTTCATAAATATCTGTGGCACACACTATATATATCAATCAGTTGGTAAAGATCGAAGACATGGAGGGAAGATCACATTCTATGGAAAGAGAAGATGAATATGATTTGTTCCCAATATATTCGGAAAGGTCACAACAAGACATGTCGGCTATGGTCTCTGCCCTCACACAAGTCATTGGTGGCTCCAACAATGACCCTCTTCAAGTGCATGGAGACCTTTTAACTTCTTCACACAACACCTCAACCCAGAATAATGAACAATCCCAACTACCCCAACAAGATCAAGGTAATTAAGTGCTTCACTCTCACACACCTCTATTACTATATATATCCTTAAATTTTCATCACATTTAATTTATTGCGTTTAAATTAGACTCCAATATATGCTAGGGTTGATTTTTTGGACGGTTTTATTTGTTTCTGTTCTTATTTCGGTCGTCCCTTTTCCGATATTATTCCTTTTTGTACCTTAATTAAACAACTCTTTTCTTGGGTCAAAGTGTTCACAAACGCTACACCCAATGTTCAACAACCAAAAAAATAAATAACGCTACACCTAATATTTCATGTTCCATTATACCATTGAGCTAGTGCAACATTATAAGTTAAGGAGTTTTAATTTTTCTCAGAACCATTAATTATCTCCCCCTGCAAGGCTACAACTGAAAACTACGATCGATGCAGTAGGTTCATCATGCACAACCCTTTCAATTTTTGTTTCTATAAGTTAACATGTCGTATTTTTTTTTAGTCTTGAGGACGGTCGAGCCTTAGCACAGTCCTAATGTTGCTGCTGATTTTGAAGTCATTAGTTTAAGTTTTAAAAATAATTTTACAGCTTTGTATACTGAATTGCCTTTTTTTTTATAATGTTTTTTTAATATTGATTCTCATTTTTTATATATATAATACTAGTGTTTTTCCCCAAAAAGAATGAAGAGAATCTCGTAACATTAATTGGTACATGAAGAGAAGGTGTGTATATGTGAATGACGAATTATTAAATAGTCCATCGTCTTTAATTAACTTATTCATAATATATAATTGAGTGTTATTATTTTTTATAAAATAAAGAAATTAAATAATATTATTTAAAGATTAGAAGAGATTCAACTATATTAATTAATCAAATTTTTCTTTTGACAAAAATTAATAAATATTTCATATTAATAATATATGATTATACCACTATCTATCACACTCTTAATTAATAAGAATATAGAGGTCCCACTTAAAATACAAGTCAATGAAACAAATTTAGTTTCGTAATACATATAATACATTATCATCCATGCATTTTTGGACCAATTAAAGTCTTTATATGACTTAACGTGTTTCACAATTTTTTTTACATGACAAAGAAAGTATATCATAAAAAGAGAAGAGAATGAAAAAGGTTTGAGACGAGATCGGTGAAACATGATGGAAGAAACTAGAACAAAAATAATATCACTATAGAAAAGTATTACAGTATGAATACAAGTTTAAAAATGTTTTAAAAAGTTTTTATATATATAGAAAAATACTGTTATTTTTAATAAAAGAGCTCACAGATGTATTTCAAATTTGTATCTGACCATTGAATAACTAACACAAGTCGATCTTATGAAGGGAGTGTAAGAAGAAGACACTATAGAGGAGTGAGGCAGCGTCCATGGGGAAAATGGGCTGCAGAAATTCGCGATCCTAAGAAAGCAGCGAGGGTATGGCTTGGAACATTCGAAACTGCTGAAGCTGCAGCTCTTGCCTACGATGAAGCTGCTCTCAGATTCAAAGGAAGCAAAGCTAAGCTCAATTTTCCCGAAAGGGTTCAAGGCACAGGCGAATTTGGTTACCTCACTAATCAACATGTGTCATCTAGCAGTAACAGTGAGCAAGCTTCTAACCCTGTTGCTCCACACTTTACGCAAGAAACATATTCATCAAATCACTTTCAATATCCACAACAACAACAACAACAACTTATGGGGAGTGGCAGCAGCAACAACTTCAATGATCATGATATGGTTCATTACTATGGTGGAGACATGTTTGTTTCTTCTCAACCAGCTGCATCTTCGTCTTCTTCTACTGGATTTATATCTCAGCAGCAACAAGACTTTCTGAGATTTTCTATGCAGTTTGGAGGTTCTTCTTCTGCTTCTGACCATGCTAGGAATTGGAGGGATGGTAGACATTGAAGAGGGTATACGATATGGATCATATGTTCCGCAACTTGTGCTTTCTTTGTTTTTTTTTCATTCTTCATTTCATGCTGTTATAATATTTTAATCATGCATATATAATATTTCCCTTAAGTTATTTTTCTACTACATGTATGTGTTGTCAATGAACTGTTTGTTTAATTTGAAAAAGCATGGTGTTGGTACCTTTGTCTAAATTCAAAAAGGAAAGGAAGAACACGAAATCTGAGAGACTGGTTCGTGTAGTATATATTAAGACATTTTATTGAGCTATATTTATAACTTTTATTAAATAATTAAGCTTTTAAAAGTATTTCAAAAGTTTAAAGAGTAGACGAAAATGCATGAATCGATGATATATGTATTAAATTTATAAAGAATTGGTGATTCTAGAAGGTAAGCAATTGACCACCCTACGTTGCTCGGGAATAAGATAGAACACTCATTTGGAGTTTTAAAGAAACAATTAATAGTGTGAAAAAATCATTTTGAATAAGAAGGTAAAAACCAAAAAGAAGGAACAGAATTAGGAATAATTAATTGGCATGTAAGAAAGGGATATCGCAGGAAAAAATACAGCTTGGGTGTTTGAGAACATGCATATGTGTCTAAACTCTAAAGCATCAAACAACATCAGTATGTCCCGCAGGTTTGAACACTCACGTACAATTCTGAACCTGAGTGCCTCAAAAGGATGCCTGAAACGCGTTATGTCGGCTTCAGTGTTAATTATTAGTTGATACACTATAACAGTCGACAATGTATATTTATTCTGTGACATATATGAAGACGATACTATGATTTGATCTATATATTTTTTATAATAATTTTTAAATTAGTTTTTTTTTTTATTTTTTTTTATTTAATTTATATTTTTCTACTCTTTGTAAATCTCTAACTAATTTTTTTTATAAAAAATAATAGAGACATATTGTGTTTCTCTCCATAATAAATATAAAGACTTCAATTAATATAAAGAGGAGATATATTTATCATTCATATTAAATTAAATATAATATAAAAAATATTTATACACATCTATTCAACCAACTGAGTTAAATTATATAAGAAAGAGAATGAATTATTGATATTAATTTTTCTGAAATTGTAAGGATAAATGAATTGGTCTTTAAAGTGTTAAATAATTAATCAATTTAGTAGTTAATGCTATCCAAAACTATTAAAAAGATTAAGTTTATTATAAGGTAATATTTTAGTATTAATTTAGTTCTTGAGTTAAAGTCACGATTGGAGATATTATTTTTTTTTATAGAGATTAATTAATAAGATGAAAATGATTTTTTTTTTCCTTTTCTTATTGATTACAAATGTCACCTTCGTAAAAATAATGACAGCCTCAATAAAGTCATATTTCAATCACATTATAATATGCATGCTTAATTTACACAATGTTTTGATTTGAAGATTAACGCAAAGTTAAAGGGTAGAGGAAGATTAAAGACATTCGTAGGGAAGGGAAAAGATAATTATTATTAAAATTCCACCAATGTTTTGATTATTTTTTTCCTTATAACCTTTTATTTTTTTTACTAGTCCTTATAACTTGATGATCACCATATGTGTCTAGTTGTTTGTCACTTAAACACTTACTGTGTTAATCTTTCTAATGATGCTAAATGACGCTTAAACAATTGCTATGTTAACGTTTCTCTAATGGTGCTAAACGACACCAACAAATAGAGAGATTAAATCGATTAATAATTTACAATTTAAAATATTGTTTTACTATTTTGCTAATTTTAATAACTAATTGACCAACTATTACAGTTTTAAGGACTAAATTAGGAACTCAATCAATTTAGATAATGTTATGTTAGGTAAATAACGTAACAATTCATGTTGTACCAAAAAAAATATATAAAAAATGAAGTTTACATGAGAAATGTGTTTTATTATGAGTTTGTTTGAATAAACTTATTGATACAAAAGTATTTTGAGAAAGTGAAAATAAGAATAAAAAATGAAATAATTTTTACTAAAAATAAAAAATATATATTATCTTTTCCAAAATATGTTTTTAACTTATATAAGCTAAGTTTTTATTAAAAAAATAATAATTTTATTTTTTCTTCACATTTTCTTCTCCCAGAAGGTAAATATATATGACTTTTTTTTTTTTGAGGGGATATATGAAGAAACTTATTCAATAACAAATCCTATACTTATTTTGTATTATAGTTTTCTTTCTCATTGCATACAAACATTATCAATTTTGAAAAAATATATATAATATTTATATTATCTCATGTCAGCAATAAATTATTTTTACAATTAATATCATAATATAAAAGAAAAGAACATAAAAGTGAAAAGATAACTATATAAATAGTGACATATTTAACATATATATATATCAAACAACTATGCGAAAAAGGAACTTTGAAATTATTAAGTGATATAAAAAAGTTTTTGTCAAACATATTCTTTGAATAAGTTGATTCTCATCCTAAACAAAAATATTAATTATATTTTTTAATCTACATTATGAAAAAAAATATTTCGTGTCTCTAAATTTTTAAAATAATAAAAATTAAAAAAAAATAGAGTGGATAATTATTATTCGAATAGTTACTGAAACTAGAAACAACCGTAAAATTGAGAAAATCTTAAAAGTAAGAAAAATAATGTCAAAAAAGTGAAAAATAAATAAATAAAATTATTAATATATTTGTACGTACTTGATAATTTGAGAGTATAATAATGTTATAAAAATAGAGGGAAAAAAGGGTGAAGAGTTTTAATACCTCTTTATCTATTACTAGAGATAAATAAAAAATATGAAAGGAATATTTTTTTGTTTAAAAAAAATGTGCATATGTCATAATTAATTGCGGTATACACGCGTGTGTGTGAAAGCTTCAAATTTGGGTGGTTGCAATTTGCAAAGCGGAAAGAGAAAAGTTGAACCGCCAGCACCACCCTTGAGCTTCCCTTGGCACGTGTAACACAAATCAAACCGCCCAAACTACATCCCAAAATCGGAATTTAAATTGTTCACACTCATCACATTCACATAGTGCTCTCAACACGTTGTCTTCAACGAAAAGCCTATGAACTTGATCATTGTCATGCACAATAGTAACAAGCTAGTTGAGAAATTAATCTTCCCAAAATATGTCAGCACTCAGCACCCACACCAAAAAAAAGAGAAAGAGAGAAAAAAAAGTTGGCACACATAGCACGCAACTTGAAAGGAATATTGACATGAAAAACGAATCTAGTTAAAATATGAATATGGGTCAAATTTAAATGGAGAGTATAGAGTAAGGGTCGTTGAATTCGGCAAGCGATGATCAAAAAGTCCAGATTGAGCAAGCTTATATCCACCTGCGAAGAAGACTTCGATGGCGATTATTTGATTATTAATTACTGAAAAAGCTCTCTGTCTGTGAACTCTGACTTTTGACTGTTGAATGAGTCCTCTTCAACTTCACTCGCACTCTATACTATTACTATGTGTCACCCATAGAATTATATTATATCAATTCTCTTGTATCGTTACTTTATCTCATTCTCAATTATTTGTATTATGCCTACACTGCAAAAACCAAACTGTTATACGTTAATAATTTTGTTTTTTTGGTGTTCAAAGATCTATTCAAAACTAAAAAATACAAGGGAATAAATAATAATACATTTGAGTAATGTGCTATAACAAAGCAAAATTAATAAAGACTATGTCTATATAATTTTTTTTGTAAAAATACTTGTAGAAACGAAAAAAAAAATAAAGGAAAGAAAACGAAGTAAGTTTTTTCATGATCTAAATTTATTTTATGCATATAAATTAACAGTTTTCTCGTATTAATTTTTTCAAAAATGTTTTTTTTATTTATGTGTATAAGCTAATTTTAATTTGTGGAGAAAAAAAATCATTTAATTTTCTTTCTTATTTTATTCTCTATAAGCACTTTTGGATAAATTTACTTGACTACCCAGAATCAAGAACAAAATTTCTTCTTTTATTCTCTACAAGTCCTACTCCTAGTCGCCTCCTTCTCTGATTTTTTTTTTTCTTTTCACTTTTGTTTGTGAAAGTGTTAGTATGCTCTGATCGATGTTGGATTCTGTTGTATCTTAATTATTTGTTTTCAATTTGGGATCTTTATATACTTTGATTGGTATGATTTTGGTTGTTTTGGGTCATGCACATAAGGTGTTTATATACATGAAAATAGCATATATATATTTATTAAGTATTCCATAGACACCAAGATCATCTTCACCACATTAGGAGAATGAGTTATGATCACTTTGATTCCTTTTGCTTCAAGTCACTGCACGAGCAAACTTCACTTAAAATTACAAAAACACAACGTAATGCAATGAAAAGTCCTGAACAGGATAAATTGTGCAAAGAATGATGAAAGAAACCCTAAAACTAACACAACACATGCAAAGTAACCTTAAAACATGATTCAATTGAGGACACAACAAGGGTGATCGTTTTCTGCGTAATTATGTTTTGGGTTTTACATTCTTGTTCGACATTCTCGTTTCTTATGTTTCTTGGTTTATTTTTCCATAGTTTCTATTCTTGTGGCTTTTTTCTTGTTTAGAAACATGTTATACATTAGTGTGCAACAATTTTTATTGGGTAAAAACGATTTTTTATGCTAATTTTAAACTTGTCATAAATACCGATAATATAGGAAGTCTTGACTTTTTATGTCAGTTATAAAAGTAACCAACATAATATGTTTTGACTTTTTATATTAGTTATGAAAATAATTAATATAAAAGGTTTTTATTTTTTAGGTTAATACATGTTTCTCCATTATGCATTTTTTCTCTCATCACATCCTTTTGTATTTTGCTGTCGTGCTACTCTTTTCTTCTCATTGTCACATCTCTTTACATTTTGTCATAGTGCTCTTTCTCTTTTATTGCATCTCTTCATATTTCGTCATCGAGCTCTTTCTCTCTCGTCACATCTCTTTGCATTTTGTTGTTGTGTGTTGTGTATGAAACACACTTAAAGGCAAGCATACCTTTCCATATTAATAATAATGGACAAAGTCTTGATATCAAATTCAAAGGACTATGTTCAAGCAATTACCAACCTAATTATGGTGTTTGGTAGTTTGAACAAATAAAAATTGATTTGA